TAACCTTGAACCACTGGGTATTTTGTATCCCTGCACATACCTCCCAGTGAAGGCCAGGCCAGCCAAAGATGCTGTTTTGCAATGAAAAATATTTATCTCATAGAATCATAGATTCATTAGTGTTGGAAAAGACCTCTAAGATCATCAAGTCCAACTGTTAATCTACACTGCTAAGTCCACTACTAAACCATGTCCCTAAGTGCCACATCCACATGTTTTTTGAATACTTCCAGACATGGTAATTACGTCACTTCTCTGCGTTGCTTGTTTTGTGTCTAGGATAAACCAGAGAGCAGTAACAGAAAAGCAGACTGGCATAACTTTTAGTTCAGCTTGTTGGGGACAGGCAGCATAGTTAGTACTCTGTGAGAAAGGAAAAAGGTTTCATGAAGCCAAAGTTTCTAACTGAAGTCTGCTCTACATAGTCCATGTACCAGTTCAGCTATTCCAGCACTATTATGACTGAAATAACCATATATGCAACACGGGTGCACTGGTATAGAAATGCCCTGTATCAACTCACTTTCCTTCTTTCTCTCCTAATTCCAAAGAAAAGGTTGAAAACATGAGCACAGCATAGGACGAAGGTTAGAAGAGGGGCACCACAGACAAAAGCAGGACGATAAACAAACTCCTTGATTATGGAGGCTGGCAATACCATGCAGTCCCGGGCAGGTAGTACCTCAGTTCACTCCTTGCAGCTCGTCCTTGAGGAGAGTCATTGGAGCATCCCAGAGGTGCCTGGTGCCTTGTGTACAGAGGATTGCTTTGCCAAAAGTTCATGCTCATGCACGATATTACAAAACTTTTCAGGTTACCTTTCTCAGAAAATAAATTTTGATGTAACTGCATCCTATTTAAACCATAAAGAGATGAAAGCTGTACAAGAGTGCTTTTACGTGACCTCCCCATGAAGCTGTGCTGCAGAGCAGGTAATGGAGCTGTAACATAATTGATGAGTCGATCTCACTGAGCATTTGTGCTCTCGGTGTGTGATTCTCAGTTTCATGACACTGTAAAAGGAAATTGAGCTTCCTTTATCAGAAGGACACAATATGCCTGTCCCTGTTAATATTAGATGGCTGTCAGTTCTTGTTTGCTTCCATTATATTGAATTTCTAGCAACCAACTCATTTGTTTAAGGGAAGACATTATACATTAGAAGAGTAATAGGCAAACAATATTCTTATAGAGAATAGGCTGAGAGTCATCTTTTCCTTGAGGAGTTGTGCTTTGCCTGCAGGGATAAAGAAACTGCTTCTGCTTGTGCACAAAGTTTTATGCTAAATGGAAAGGCAGCAGCCTCCTGAAGTGAAGTGAAATGAAAAATAATAGAAGCTAAGAGATCCTCCATTTTCAAGACAAGCAAATCACTTTGGTTGATTTTTGTTTTCCTGAATCATAAGGAGTTTGTAAGTGGTTTTGAACAAAGATTTTGCTCATGTAAATAGTAAAATTGGAGTTCTTCAGTGATATTTTTCTACGGGGCAGACTTGCAACATCTGGCATACTTCTCAGGCTTTTTTTTCTATTTTTCTAATTTGCTTTTATTGAAAAGGGCATAGAGGAATCTATTATTAATGAACATAAGTATCACTGATTGAAGCCTGCTAATATTCTAGGGGTTTTTATGAGGACTCCAAAAATACACCATTCACAACAGAGCACTTAAAACTAATGGGATTTAACAGTATATGCAAAATAAATCAGGGGCAGTTAAGTACAGGCAGAGCACTGGGAAGGCCTGGTGTATACATTTGCGGTGCTCTGCTGGAGTGGTGGTGTCCTGGCCCACTCTCCAGCAATGTTCTGCTGGGCATGATCATGATTGAATAACTTCATCATGTGGGATCCAAGCATGATCCCACTCAGAGAAGCTAAGTCTTCAGCTCATGCCTAGAAAATATGACTGTGTCCCTTTTTCACAATAGGTGTTTGAGTATAAATAAGGTGGCATGATGTATAATAAGAGCATATACGTATTTTTTGCAAGAGCGCTTTCATGTGGGTGTGTTAATTTGAAAAGTTTCACTCTGGAGAGCTAAGTAATATTTAATATGTTGTGATTGATAGGTACCTAAAAATATGCAGAACATACTTGAACAAATGGAGCATTGATTTGCCCTTTTTTTCTCTAAATAGCTTAAGGTAATTGATTTTTTAACCAGTAGGATTTTTTATGCTATGTGAATGCTGCTTAGCTTCCATAAAAGACTCTCAGTGCAGTCCATAGAAACAAATGGTTGGAATCTGAAATATTACAAACTATGTTTTTGAAAAAATGGGCCTTTGAATAAGAGCCAGAACAGACTTAATTTTTCTAAAAATTCCTTGCTTGTTGCCTGGTGGAGCGACCACAGCTGGGTGTATAGTAGGCTGGTTACGTTGCGCAGGAAAGCAGAAATTTGAGCTGTTCTGTGGTTGGGGTAGGGCAGGGGGCACACACTGTCTCCATTTCAGAAATGGAAGGTCTGTTGTAGCATTTGTGAAAGAGTGGCCTCCCATCTCAGCTGTCCTCTTGGGATGGATGAGCTTTCATGAGCCTCTTCTCTCAGAGCTGGTGGTACTGAATGTACAGTTCTCATGTTAAGAGACCATTACCAGCCAAAGGATGTTGGAATTGGTTCTGCGATTTCACCTCTCCTTTTACTTCAGAAAAGACAGTATGTGTTGAAAATTTCTATCTAGACAGCTAATAGC